CGAGAAAGCCTCTTTCCTTTTTTATTCCCCTTTTTAGAGTTCTTTTCCGGGCGCCAGCCGATTGACTTCCCCCCTCCGACCCGGCCAAGTGTGTCGGATTCAGCCCCGACTCCTTCCCCGTCGTTTCCTCCGCCCGTGGCCGCCTCGGAGGGCTCGGACCGCCCTGGGCACCCGGGCCGGGGCTTCCCGGGCGCCGGACACGACACCCCTTCCTGGGCGTGGGGGCGGGGGGGGGAAAAAAAGCCGGGGCGGGAGGGGCCGCCTCGCCCGCGCCCCCAGGTGCGCCTTGCTGGGGGGCCGGGCGTGCCCCTTCCGCCTTCCTTCCTCGGTGGAAGCCCCTGAAGCCCGCCGGCGTCCAGATTTGGGTGGTGGTTAAATTGCATTGACTTTTATTTATTTATTTTTTTAAATCCCAGCGTATTTCCCTCAAAATTCGACCTGGCTTTATAAAAGCCCAACGACTGCAAAGACTTTAGTCTTAATCCTTCTTTCCGTTTTAGATAGGGCAGTCTCGAGTTTGAAGCAGAACGAGGTAGCGTGTGGCAAGTGCATGCTCCCTTAATTCCGAGTTTATACTTACCCTGCACCGAGTCCGTGCCGTCGCTGGAGCCGGCCGACTTTGAAAAAAAGCCATGGGAGGTGGTAAAGGCGGTCAGAAGTGGGGTATTATGTAATGAGCTCCCACGGACCTGCCCCTCGCTGGGGTGCCATCGTTAACTCCTAACCAGATTCGCCTCGTCCCCACGCTGCCTACTCCTCACTGTTGGCACATCGCTGACGTTATTTCATCAGTATTTCAGGATGTGTTTGTAAGACAGGGACTCTTACCCGGCCTGTTCTCATCCCACTTAAGTAATTAACCCCGAGTGCTGCAGTCTTTAACCTGGAGAGCTTTGTGGTACTAGGAGCATTTTTGCAGTGACTTTTTCCCCTTGTTGACCTGAAAGAGCCCAAGCCCCGAGTTTTGGTTTGGCCTTTAGTCAGCGTTTTTAGCTGGTGACCAGCGTTCCAGCCCGGTGGTGTGTATGTAGAAGCAGGTCTTCAGACCGCGGCTTTGCCTTCTGGAGGAAGGGGGAGAAACGCCGCGTTGTCCTTGGTAGCTGCGCAGTGTACTCGGTGTTGCTTAGCCTGCTCTTCCCAGCGCCGGTGAGACTCGGCCCTACCATGGACGCGAAGCAGGCTTTCCTCCGGAAAATGGCTTTCTCTTAGTACAGACCTGATTATGCAAATTAATTATTACGTTGTCATGTTAAAATTGGCTTCTCACCCACACAGGGGACTCCTCCACTGAGCAAGTAAAACTAAGTTGGACATAGAGTCGTTTTAAGTGGTAAAAATTTAAGGTAAAACGTTAAAAGTACAGGCCAAAACATATTCAGAAATATAGCCAGGTATCATTTCAGTTGTTACGTTTCAAAGTAAAGAAGATGTCTTAAGCCCCTAGGCGATCGTTCACTTTTCTAATTTGATGTATTAGTATTTAAACTGGAGAGGGTCAAGTGTAAGAAATAAAGTTTTAAAAATACTGTAACTTGTTTTTAAAGAGGTTTTTAAAATGTTTGACTTTTGATTTACTGCCCTGGAAATTTTTTTGTCCCAATACCTGTTACTATGTAAATAAATCATATGAATTTGTCATTTGTAAAGATGGAAAACAAAGACTGTTGCTATACCTTTAGTAATCCACTAGCTCCAGAAAATGTAACTTCAAGGATGAGCACAGCACCATAGGGGTGGGGAGGGTAAAGATAGTATTTTTGTGCTCAGGGAGATGGCCACTTAAGGAATATTATTCAAGTCACAGTTCAGATAACATTAGGCCAAGAATCAGAACCTTTAGTGTTGAGTTAAAAGCTGTAGATTATAATACACGAGAAAATACCACTATTTTCCTGACTTTTTTCCCTCATGAATAAATAACTGTGAATTTTTTTTTTGGAGAGGTTTTTGCTATAGGTCGTGTGCTCTGCAGAAAGACAGAGAGAGACATTGAGACAGAAAGTGAGAAATCACCCCAGAGAGGGGATGGCCATGGCACAATCCCTTCTCCTCCATTCTCCTCTCGGGGATGTTGGGCATGCACGCACACGCGCCTGGCATGAGTTTAAGTCACCAGGTCCGCAACCCGAACCGCAGTCAACTACATGGGAGTCCAGTGACATAGCCATTACGCCAGCTGCTGGTCCCAGTACTGTGAAATTTTAGAAAACTAAATTTAGTCAACTATTTTATATTCCTGAGATCTTAAAAAAAATTAACATTTTTGTGTTTAAGATTTTGCATTAGAGGTAATTACTCCATTCAGGTTGTTTTCAAAGGTATAACTGATGTTTATGAAAATAGTCAAAAATATGTTTCATAGTAATTGGATTTGTGACTACTGGTTTGTAAGTTGGTTAGTCATTAAGCTTTTGTGCTTTGTAAGTATATAAATATGTATTCATTGTAAAAAAAAATACTGACAGATGGAAGCGTATAGAGTAAAAAAAATTAGCCTTTTTTATTTTTTGCACCCCTTTCTTAACTACACCAAAAGACTTGTGTAGTGATGTTGAATGAGAATCCCTAGGTTCTTATTTTTATATGTAGCATTTAAGACTTTAAATATTTGGAGATTATATATTTAAAATTTCTTTTTTCCACAGAGAATATGAAACAGGTGTCAAAATGACATCCAGATTTGGGAAAACATACAGTAGGAAAGGCGGAAATGGCAGTTCAAAATTTGATGAAGTCTTTTCTAACAAACGGACGACTCTTAGTACGAAATGGGGAGAGACTACATTCATGGCTAAGTTAGGGCAAAAGAGGCCCAATTTAAAAGCAGATATCCAAGAAATTCCGAAGAAACCTAAAGTGGAAGAAGAAGATACTGGAGATCCCTTTGGATTTGACAGTGACGATGACTCTCTACCAGTTTCTTCGAAGAATTTAGCCCAAGGTAAGGGTTCCTCTCATCCAGAACCTGGCGAAGCTGCTCAGCTGGAAGAAGGCACTTCAGTACTTGAAACTAACAGCAGAATTAGTCATGCGGTGGGTGAAGACAATGCCATGTCTGAGAAATGCTTACCTTTGGAAGATTTGTTGCTTGGGACAGAAAAGAGCACAAACCGAAGTACAGAAGAAGATGCAAGCAAAAGTAGTGGTGTTAAGTTAGTGACTTCAGGTAAGTTTCCATTTTCATTTTGAACCAAGAGAGCTTTTTGCAAGCCACTTTAGTGATTTAAATTCTAAAAAATATATATTACTTGGGTTTTCTTTGTATGTTTATGACTAAAGGAGATTGTTGATAGACTTGTAAAAGAAAGACTTGTAAAGAAAGCCACTGGAGGTTGAAATTGAATTTAACCAACTTGTAGGTAAATGTTTGTAGACGGTTAGGGTGCAGGTTGAGAACAGTCTTATTAAACCCCTAACCCCAATCCCAGTAAGAAGCATCTCTTTCATGTTGTGATCTCGCAGTATCTCAAGTCTTACTATGGAGTGTTTAAATGAATACTGGTAATAAAAAATGAGGTGAGGATTTACAATGAGAATTAAAAATGTTAGACTTTCTTCTAAAACTCATTCAGAAAGATTAAAGAGTTACTGAGTGGTAACACTAAAGAATTTAACTTTATTACAAATTAAGATTAGTTTGGAGTCTGGGGCCAAAAGCAACTTGTAGTGATAAATTTTAATACGCAAAACTGGTTATACTTTTTTTTTTTTTTGGAGAGATTTTCACTGTAGGGCGCATGCGCTCGCCAGACAGAGAGAGACATAGAGACAGAAAGCGAGAAATCACCCCCCGGGGGGATGGTCACGCCGCAATCCCTTCTCCTCCATTCTCCTCTCGGGATCTTGGGCACGCACGCACACGCGCCTGGCGTGAGTTTTAAGCCACCGGGTCCGGGACATGAACCGCGGTCGACAACGTGGGAATCCAGCGACATAGCCATTACGCTAACTGCTGGTTCCCAAAACTGGTTATACTTTTCAAGTGTTAATTTTTAAATTTGGCATCTGGTAGTCTTTTATAAGAAGGCATATTTTGAGACCAGCAGATGACGTAATGGTTATGTTGTTGGTCTCCCACGTAGTCCACTGTGGTTCAAGTCCTGGACCTTGTGGCTTAAAACTTAGGCCTACTGCCTGTGCATGTCTGCCCAAGAGGAGAATGGAGAAGGGATTGTGGCATGGCCATCCCCCGGGAGGGGTGAATTCTTGCTTTATGTCTCTGGTGAATGCATGCGCCCTATAGCAAAAATCTCTCAAAAGGCATTTTTTGTCAGTTTTACCCCCTCTCACTTCTGTAGGGGGTTTGAGACCTGTAAATGTAAGGCTATGCCTGACTGAAATACTGAAGACCTGTGAGATTGGATGGGGAGGAGAAATTACCAGTGCCCTGTGGGCAGTGTAAGGACAGCATGGCAGCACTGTGGTTGGTCCAGCAAAGCTTGGTTCTGACTTCTTGGTGGAGCTCAACAGCAATAAAAGGCTTTGTTTTGTAGATCTCATGTAGTTAAAAGCTAGAAGGACACAACGTTGCTAGTACTGAATTCTTAACCTGGATTTCTCCTTTGGAGGTTTAATATAAGATGCATCAAACAGTATAATGGACTGTGCTTTGCACAGTTTTTCTAAAAATGTGGACCATTTTTTCACTTTCTCTCATCGATGAGAGGATGAGCCAGCTGTTACTGTCATTCCTGTGATCTTCCCGGTTAATTCTGATTTGGCTGTCCTTACTGCTTTGCCCACACTTTTCCTGAAGCATTATCTATGAATTAAGCTTAGGTTAAATTTTCACGAAAGAAGCATAAGAACTTTCCCGAAGATACTACCGTAGAACTTTTGAGATAGAATGAATTGTAACTTAATCTCTCACTGTATAGGTGAGGCTGAAAGAGGTTAAGTAACTAAGATCAGCTAGTGGCAGAATTGGAATGAGATTCATTTATTGATTCTGTAGCATATTATTGAGCACCTATTTGTCAAATCATTTTGCTAGGCTCTGCAAATGCTGTTTCACTTGAGTTACCTGTGTTCTTGCTGCCGTTTCTTTCCATTCCCCGAGTCAGTCTGCAGTGTTGGGAGGTAGGCTGGAGGAAGGAAGCTGAAGCTGGGCAGGTGGTACAAGGCGGTCAGGTGTGGAGAGCAGTTAGTTTGTGAAAATAGGTGACTTTTGCATGCAAAGCCAGTTGTTTTAAAATATTAATCGCCCACAAATGTAAATGTAACTGATGCCATTTAATTTCTCTAATCTTTTTAAAAGCAAAATCTAATAAACACATGTAACTTCCTTTAGCCCAATACAAAAAATACAAAAAGTACCAAATATCAACAACAACAAAACTGTTAACAAATAGCACTTTCATATGTAAATACTTTTTTCTTTTTCTTTCTTTTTTTTTTTTGGAGAGGTTTTTTGCTATAGGGTGCACGCGCTCTCCAGAAAGACAGAGACAGAGGCAGAAAGTAAAAAATCACACCCCAGGGGGGATGGCCATGACACAGTCCCTTCACCATTCTCCCCTCGAGATCTTGGGCATACACGCACACGCGCCTGGCATGAGTTTAAGCCACTGGGTTGGGACTCGAACTGCGGGCCACTACATGGGAGTTCAGCAACATAGCCATTATGCTAACTGCTGTTTCCATAAATACTTTTTATTAGCCCTGCTAAAGTAACTTACAAAAATGCATTTCTCCATGTGTCTAAAAGTCCCATGTTTTCTCAAACTAACTGTTCTCCACAGTCAGGAAGGCTTCCCTGGGAGAGTCTCCGAGAAGAAGTATCGACAGTAGGCAGTGGCCCTGACAGGGTATGGAATAATGACGCGTTCTTAGGTAGGGGAGCAATGTGGAGGTTAAATATTCCTAGGCAGCCATTGTTTATGTATTAATAGCTTTGCTGATGGTCTCTATGTATGTCCAGCTGCTGTTGGAAGTTGTTGGTGTGAACTAGAAACAAGTTTTTTTCTTTCTTTCTTTGAGAGGTTTTTGCTGTAGGGCGTGTGCTTGCCAGAAAGAATGAGACAGAGAGACAGAAAGCGAGAAATCACCCCCTGGGGGCTTGGCCACGCTGCAATCCCTTCTCCTCCATTCTCCTCTCAGGATCTTGGGTATGCATGCCACATGAACATGCGCCTGGCATGAGTTTGAGCCACTGGGTCCGGGACTCGAACTGTGGTCAACTACATGGGAGTTGAGCGACATAACCATTATGCCAACTGCTGGTCCTAGAAACAGGTTTTCTGTGAAATGAGATAATAAGCTTCCCAGCTGGTACAGCTGAATTGTAGTTCTGATGCTGATATGGTGACTCAGCTGAATCCAAACTATTATTGTTCACGAGGAGAAAACGTATACTAAAATACAGATAAATAGATATATTTAAGAACTTTTTGTCTCCCTTATATCCTCATAAAGTGGGAAGGGAATGATGCAGCACTGGGAAGATTTTTTTCCTTCTTTCCTTTGGTCACCCAAAGCTGGAGCCTCTTGGCAGCTCCTATATGGTGAGCCAATTCGAGGGAGCGCGTTTAATTTTTATGGTAGTCTTCTCCTATTCGTGATGTTTGGAAGTTAATTTTTTTTGTTTTTGAAGAGAGGTTTTTGCTGTAGGGCACTAGTGTTCACCAGAAAGGCAGAGAGGGACGGAGAGACAGAAAGCTAAAAATCACCCCCCAGGGAAGATGGCCATGCTGCAGTCCCTTCTCCTCTATTCTCCTCTCGGGATCTTGGGCATGCATGCACATGTGCATGGCATGAGTTTAAGCTGCCAGGTCTAAGACTGGAATCATGATTGTCCATTTGTGAATCCAGTGCCTTAACCATCACACCACCTGCCAGCCCTGCAAATTGGTTTTCTTTTTTTTAATTATATATTTAATTTTATTTATTTATTCATTTATTTTAATTTGACCAGAGAGAGACAGAGAGAGAAAGAGTGAGAAAGCAAGCCGCCAGGTCCAGGACTTGAACCGTGGTCAGCCATGTGGAAGTGTCCAGCACCTTAACCACCACACTACCTGCTGGTCCCGCAAATTGGTTTTCTTATAACCCTTTGTAAATTTGGATATTTGAAGGTTGGTCATTGTTCTAAGAGTGCCGTTATACTTGATGACCTTCGTTTTTCTCCCTCTTCGCTCTAAACTCTGGGTATTTCCCTTGCACCTGCATTCCTTTTCTTGAATTACATCTGTGAGGTTGTCATCGCCTTTACTCACTCTTGAAGATTGGAGGCCCAAACTGTTTTTTTTTGGGGGGGGGATGTGGGGGGGTTTCTCTATAGGGGGTGTGCGCAGG